TTATGATGTGTGCATGACTGTTAGTGTTTCTTTAACACATTCGACTATCTATCGGTGACCTCGTTAGATGGAATTGAGCTTATGTTTCGCTGAGCCATTATAGGAAAGATTGGAACGAAAGGTAGAAAACTCAGATAACAAAGGTGGTTCAGTGTTTCGGACTATCATGCTGACTATCTAATAGAAGATTTCGTTATTCATATTTTTAAGGGATTCATTCCTTGCGTCTAATATTTTTTCTTTGTGATCTAATGCTCGAATATCACCTATACGTATCGGTGATCACTAAAAAGGTAATCTTTAAACACTTTCCGCATCGTGACGATTTTCATTACTGCCGGCCATACAAATATCAGGTCCAAGATGAATCTAGAAAATACGAGTATATATTCCTAGTGTGTTTGGTGTCACCATTATTTTTTTGAATAGGTTATTTCTGTAATCTTGAGATTCCCCCACCCATGCCCTTGCTTTGGCGTTAAAGTCACCTGTCATTATAAGTAGGCCTTTCGATTTGCTCAATTTGTGGATTAATTCAGCTTAGTCCCATTTAATAGTTTTCTTGCATTGTAATACTAGTTCTCCTATGCGTAATTTGTCGCACCCTCACTTTTGTCTCGAAACCACATTGTATCATGAAGATCTCGATTTTATTTCGAAATGATTACTATGCTTGCTTCTTTATTCCTCGTAGTCTGAATTGCAAGATCTTGTGCAACTCAGGACCAATTAAAATTTAGCTACAGTATGCTGGTATTAGAAAGATTAGTTATTTAGGTTTTTATGATTGAGTTTCACTCCGAGTCTTCGTAGGATTGTGCACGCAGCAATTCTTTTTTGTGATTGTAGGATTTTCTTTACCAGGTATTTGTACGATTCTGCACATCTATCGGCCAAATGTCGTAATTCTCCACGCCTATAGTGTAGCTTCTCCTATGCTATAATTATATTCCTATAACTATACTTCAGATATATAAAGCACCTTAGGATGAGATTTCTCTTGCGTGCTTTAGTATTCATCCAACCAAATCTGACTTTGCCTATTTTGAGTATTTTCTTCACTGCTAAAAAAACTCATGACTCTCGGGCCCTTTTGAAAAAAAGTACCTACAATTATTTCAAAGTGACCGTTTCAAAGTTGTAACTAGTACTTCCTCTAGCCCTTCTTATGTTGTGCTTTCCTCCGGATTTCAAAGCTTTATCTTAACGGTTGATATAAGTGAAATCACGAGTAATTGATCATCCATTAGTGCATGATTTGCTCAGGGAAAACATTTTAAGTTTGTACCTCTTTGTAATTCGATTAGCAAATTTATATCTCTCGTGTGTCGCACGCAGTCAACTTTCGATCCGACTTCTAACAGGCTTGTATTTTGCTTGATTATTTTAAGCATCACCGAGTGAATCAGGTTACCGCTTTTATTCCCTTGATTAGAACTATTTTTGTCCTTGGCCTTGAAGATTTTCTGTTGATATCTTAAGTATCTTTATTTGTACAGATTATGTTCCTTGATTCTTTTCTTCCTATTTTACTTTTTCTTTTCTGCTTCCTAACTATTTCAAAACCATCTTGCTTCTGCTTGATCGATGTCTTTTCTGTTGTGAGTGATGCTCACTTTTATAATCTTATTTTTAAGGAGATAACTAGGTGAAGATTTTTTTCTTATCCTTCATCGGCAGCTCTTTTTCGTCAGTTCAATGAGTCTCCTTCTCTAGTTCACTTTGAAATTGTAGCATATCTGCTTTTATTTACTTTTTGTTTCTCATGAGTCGCCCGAGGTAAAACATAGTAGCCTTCGGATCTTCTTTCACTGACTTATGTACATTTTTGACTGGATTCACTACTATATATATATACCGTTAATCCTGCACTTCAGAGATTAAAATCTTCTCTGCTGAGACCAACGTTTCATCAGTACTGCTTAAAGTTGTTTGGTTTAATTTGTTTGTGTTAATCCGTTATAATTCATCGCATGGTTGAGAGTACAGGGTCACATCCCAAGCAAAACTTAAATGAATTCAACTTTGAAAAAACAGTGATACATAAGTTTTTTCATAATTTTTCAACGTAAAATTAATTTGTAAAGACAAATTTTCAAAATAACAACTTTTGTAATAATTTATTTGAATAATGTTTTCATAAAGACTTAGAAATAAGAAATAAAAAAATACGGGTATTTTTTTTTTTCATTTTCCTATGAATGGCATTATTTGTTTCATCCCAACTGGTTCAGTTTCGGCCTGGGCCTTAACCCATTAACGTTCACAGGACGGTTTTTCGAGACCTGAGTTTGAACTATTCTCATGTCATGAATTCTCGTGGAAAAAATTCAGGAACCATTGTTTCTTATGTTTTCGAGTGTCCTCTTTCCAATGATGCTGGTTAAAATTGTCGCTGAAAAACTTTTACGGTCCAAAAATCAAAAATAAATAAAAAAAACATGATTTTCTGATTTAATTTTTTTTTTAAATCGACTTTTCGTTCCCTAAGCATTTTTTTTAATGCCTAAAACCCTTATAGATCACGGCCTCGAGGTTTTAACTACAAGTTACTATGGTTCTCCGGATATGAAAATTTTTCGTATAAACAAAATGGCGGCCGAAGTGAAAATATTTATCTAAAACTTTACAAATTTTTTTCTCGAATACTATAGATTTTCATGAAAATTTTTAAAGAACAAAAATGTCTTAGAATTAGTTATAAAATACTCTCAAATTTTTTCAGAATCATCCGAGAAAATTTTGGGATTTCGGAAAAGTCTCTGAATTGAAAATTTAAAAATTATGTCGGAAAATTTTGAAATAATTTGAGAGCGTTCTTTGTTTGTTTTTAAGATATTTCTATTCTTAGAAAAATGTTCCTAAAGAGTATACCTTTCGAGAAAAAAAATGTTAAAGTTTGCTAAACAAATATTTTGTTTACCAAAAACCATGCACTTTACGAAAGTTTTTCTGAGAATAGAAATGTCTTAAAAACAAACAAAGAACGCTCTCAAATTATTTCAAAATTTTCCGACATAATTTTTAAATTTTCAATTCAGAGACTTTTCCGAAATCCCAAAATTTTCTCGGATGATTCTGACAAAATTTGAGAGTATTTTATAACTAATTCTAAGACATTTTTGTTCTTTAAAAATTTTCATGAAAATCTATAGTATTCGAGAAAAAAATTTGTAAAGTTTTAGATAAATATTTTCACTTCGGCCGCCATTTTGTTTATACGAAAAATTTTCATATCCGGAGAACCATAGTAACTTGTAGTTAAAACCTCGAGGCCGCGATCTATAAGGGTTTTAGGCATTAAAAAAAATGCTTAGGGAACGAAAAGTCGATTTAAAAAAAAAATTAAATCAGAAAATCATGTTTTTTTTATTTATTTTTGATTTTTGGACCGTAAAAGTTTTTCAGCGACAATTTTAACCAGCATCATTGGAAAGAGGACACTCGAAAACATAAGAAACAATGGTTCCTGAATTTTTTCCACGAGAATTCATGACATGAGAATAGTTCAAACTCAGGTCTCGAAAAACCGTCCTGTGAGCGTTAATGGGTTAATGGGCGAAAAATGAGCTAAACATCCAGACCAGGCATTTTTTTATTATTTTAATAAAGTTGATACACTCTCCTTCCTGATTTCTTAGGTGACAAGGCCTCGAGCTTGGTACCAGCATAATGGAATTGTGTGGTTGTGCATGGGTCTGTGTGTATCTATAACTATATGTCCTTCACGGTAAAAAAAGGATTTAATAAATTGATACTTTTTCAAAAATAGAAAAAATTATATTATTAAAAATATTACTAAAATTCCAATTTTGAATGTTAGATGGTGAAGGGATGAATGAAGTTAATTTGATACATGAAAAAATTGAATGAATTTTGATTCAGTCACTTGATGAAAACTATATGCGTATGCGATTATATTTATGTTAATTTAATAATTTTTTTAATTTCGGCTGTACAGATGAATCAGCGAATCATAGTAGCTCTGACATATACAATATAAGGTGAGTGAGATGTTGTCAGAAGTACCATTGCAGACTCTAGGAGTCCGTATCCTGACGAGACTTGAGGGGAAGGGGACGATATGATGGCTTTCAAGTCACCAGAGTGAAACGCGATCAGAGGAGTCATTATTAGCTCCAAGGGCTAATACATTGAAGTTGCTTAAGTAATAGCTTGCTAGTTATCAGAAAGTCGAAGGCTCTTTCGTTAAAGCAGCTGGAATAGATAACTAGATCAACGTCAATGAATCGGATTTTATAGTCGGGCTCTTCCTTCTAAGGCTTTTGCTGAGTTAACTGTATTTACCAAAGATGTCACAATAATGTTGTTAAAGATTTAGTTTTCTGTTAGGACTTGTATTGAACGACGAAAAAGTACAAGGCCCGATTTAGTCGATGTTGCAACATTCTTTATAAGCTAAGAAGGGTAATCGGACGGTTTCTCCGATTACTCTTCTTAACTTCGCTTTCTTTACATATCAATCCTTAATTTAATAAGAGTAATATTCATATAATCACAGTAACATTTAGGTTAATATTAAAACTTGGTTTATAGTTAGTGCTGAATAATAGACTGCGTGGACTGCACATAAAATTTCTTTGTATACGGCAGCACATCCTTTAAGATCTGACTATCGCACAGGATATTCCTTATAATTAGTTGATTGTTTGTATCTTGTTAATATTTAAACATGTCCTACTTGCTATATTTTCCGAAGCAATGGACTTGGCAGCAGAGGAGAGAAAGAAATAAATTATTGAATAATCTTAATACCTTTGCTAATTGTGTGTATGAATGTAAAAAAGTTAAAGTTTTAATAGTTTTGTCATGAAATTGCATCTCTACGAATTTCGTAAATTTATAAGTAATTAATTTAGAACTATTTTTCAAATATATTTGCATCATACGTGGTATTTTTGAATTCCATTTAAAAATTTATTGCTATCTGTACAATGAACAAATCGAAACGTAATAACAAAATTTCACTTTGAACTTACTTCAAATGACACAAAACCAAATCATCAAAAGGCATTGGCAGTCCATCTAAAGCTTCTCTCACGACATTCTCTGAAGTAGCATGCCAATGTATATTCCGTCTAATAGAAAGTAGATCCTAAATAAAGAAAAAGATAGATATTCAATTATATAGATGTTAAATTTCGTCTATATAAAGTGTCATCCAGAACATAATTATAATATTTTATATAAATAATCCTTGAACTGTCGTTGCCCAATGGTTGATAGTCCGATCAGGTGTTTAAAATCAGAAGAAAGAGTAATAATTTTTAGAGTAATAGGTTACTAATAAGAATAAGAGATGTATGCCATAGACGTTATTAATATTTTATCATATCAGATGTTGAAGTAGTAACGAACTTTCAAGTTGATTTCGAAGTGGTTACAAAGCTGCGGGTGATTGCGACATTCCATATAATAATTTGTTCAATTGTAGTTCCTATGAAAGATATTAATTTTTTGACTTTCATAATTTGACCAATGATTGTACGAGTAGAAGTCAAATTGAAAGTCTAGAATACCATCTATCAGGTTAAAATTTTCTGTTCCAGTTAGTTAGAATAATAGATTATTGTATATTCGTTATTATGATCTTTTTGAAACTGTAATGAACAGACATTCGTTAAGTTACACACATTTACGTCTATATGAGATTGCGATAGATAGTGAGTGGAAGTGAACGAGAGTGACCAAATAGAAGGACTTTGATACGTTTTCTATTCAATATTATTGGGTTGAGCTAGGATTAATTTTTCAAAAATTTTTAAACGGACTGGTAAAAAAACTAATCAGTCTGTACGAAGACACTAGTTCAAGTTCTTTAACTAATTTAGGTATTAAAATAATCTTTGCTACTTTTCACTTACAAGGAAGTATACAAGGTGTGTTCAAAAAGTAAGGTGACGTTTCAAATTTCACGGGCAACGTATTTTCGATTATCGATTTTTTTGTTTTGTTATGTTGGTACACTCTTCCCGAACATCTGTACCAAGTTTCAAGTGTATAGCATTTTTTGTTTGGTTGTGAGAGGCGTAAAGGTTATAAGTGTTTTGCGTGCTCGGCGATTTCTTGCTATCGAAAAATATGGATTAAAGGATTTGCATCAAATTTTGTGTAAAAAATAAAATAAAGTGTTCCGAAACACTTGAAATGTTGACGGTAGCATACGGTGAAACTGTTCTGAGTAAAAAAAATGTTTACAAGTGGTACAAACTCTTCCAAGATGGCCGGGAAGATGCCAATGACGAGCCTCGCTCTGGACGCCCAAGCACGTCAACAACTGATGAAAACGTTCAAGCAGTGAAGAAAATTGTTCTGGAAAATCGTCGAATCACTATCAGAGAAGTTGCTGAGGATGTTGGTATATCGCTTGGCTCGTGCCATGAAATTTTTTCTAACGTTTTGGGCATGAGACGCGTGTCAGCGAAGTTTGTTCCGAAATTGCTAAATTTTGACCAAAAGAACCGTCGCGTGAGCATTGCTCAAGAACTGTTGAATGACGTCAACAACGATCCAGATTTACTCAAAAGGGTCATAACTGGTGACGAATCATGGGTATATGGTTATGATATCGAAACCAAAGTCTAATCATCCCAATGGAAGAGCCCAGATGAGCTAAGACCGAAAAAAGCACGCCAAGTTCGATCAAATGTCAAAGTTTTGCTCACTGTTTTCTTCGATTACCATGGCGTGGTGCATCAGGAGTTCTTACCATATGGACGTACGGTCAATAAACAGTATTATCTTGAAGTTATGCGCCGTTTGCGAGAAGCAATACGAAGAAAACGCCCAGAATTGTGGAAAAACAATTCATGGCTTTTGCATCACGACATGGCCCTGCTCACTCATCTTTGCTTGTGAGAGATTTTTTGGCCTAAAACAACACCACAATCATGCCTCAGCCACCATATTCACCGCATTTCGCACCATGTGACTTTTTCTTGTTCCCAAAACTAAAGAGACCTATGAAAGGACGGAAATTTGCAACGATTGAAGAGATAAAGACTGCATCGCTGGAAGAGCTCAAGGCTATACCGAAAAGTGCTTATGAGAAGTGCTTTGAGGATTGGAAAAACCATTGGCATAAGTGTATTGTATCTGAGCGGGATTACTTTGAAGGGGACAACATAAATATTGATAAATAAATAAATATTTTTTCTTAAAAATACATAGTCACCTTACTTTTTGAACACACCTCGTACGTTAAAAATCATTGCTATGTTTCTTCGTCAAAGTATCTTTGTCAAATTCAAGGACATTTTCGTAATTAATATGAATAATTATTTGAAATATTTCATTTATTTTAACTGATGTGATTTATATGCTGTCTTAATCGTCAAAGTAAGGTTTCTTTCTTTAGTTCAGTGATTATTCTTTCCTAAGATCTGAAAACTGTGCTTAGGTGATTGGCGAACGTTGCACTTGTTTTTCTGTCTGATATGGCCTATTTACCGCAAAGTTTTCTATTAGGTGGAATAAATATAGTTGATGTTTTAATCGTTTAGTGGCTTTCCATAGTAAATAATCGGTTTCTTCTGTTGTATTCAATATACTAAGATAATTCTCCATTTGTGTCTTTGGATGCTTTATTTGATTTAGTTTTATCTTAACTTAATCTGGATTTCTGGTATCTTTTTCTAAGTAATCTCTTTTATTTAATTTTTTGGATTATTTTATTAGAAGTAATTCCTGTGCTTCTTACTATGTAATAAATGTATTACAGCATTGTTTGATGGCTTAGACAGTTAGGAGTAAGTTGAGTGTTTGAATACTGTTTTTTATATTAATAGCAAATATGAAAGGAATGTTATATGTTATGCGTTCCTCAATAAAAAAAGAATTTTTTTTCTAGTTAACATTTGTTTAGTTGTTTACAGTTTTAAGTACTTGAGAGTATAGAGCATTTAATTTCGTTGAATGATCTGACGTTAAGTCGAGGCATGATGATATTTAAAAAATATTGTTTGTTTATAACAATATTTATTACTATTTATTTTTACAACTGTTGCCTAGTATTTTGGTTCTTCAGTGGATATTGGAATGCAGTTATTTTGTCATAATACTGCATATAGTATTGTGCCTTTGAACGGTGGAGTTGATCATTTTGATACCCACTACGGATGCTTCGCATTACGAGATAATTACGATATAATTACCTCCTGCTTTAGACCGATTTCTTAGTACTTGGAGAAAGACTATAGTGTTTTATTGTTATTGTTTCGTTCGGAGGGCAATACACAACTGATACTGTTATCGATCCCTTGATATCGTTTTTTATAATATTAGAGTCGCTTGGAAGTAAATTTTAGTCTGTGTGTGAACGTAGTAATTTATTTTTGATTACAATATAATCAAGATACTTCCATGTGTTTTATCGAGTGGGTGATTTATTTTGTATACAGAATAGTGTGGCATGTTGCTATAGTTCTTGCTTCTATATATATTTTCTATACTAACGTCTTTGTTTTCGTTGACTAAAAATTTTCTTAGTTTAAGATGTCTCTGCTTAAATCCATTTGCATTCCAAACAATTAGTTATAATTTATTTATTGTACTATTTTATTTACTAATACAGTTAATAACTTGAACCCATCTTTTGCATTAGCAGCTCCATTATATGCTCAAGTTTATTTGTGTTTCTATCATTAGTATGTTTACTTGATTCTGATTATGTATTTATTTATTTATTTTAATTTTGAATCTGTCTTGTTCTGTTCGTTCTGTTTTGCCGTTACTTGGGCAAATGTTTTATTTGCTCTGACTCTGTTTAAGTTAAAGTTTTCTCTTTTAAACTGGGGAAGAATTTTTGTTCCATCTATTCATGAACCAGAAATCCTTTATAATTTGTACATCATACATTTTTTCTTTGATTAGATAGTCTTTAGTTGTATATTGTTTAGCGCATTTTACACAAACTGGACTTATGTTGTAATAATTTTTAGTATGTCCGAGTTCTTCACAGTTATGACATTGGAGCATGCCTCTTTGAACAGACGGTGGTTCAAATTTAGATGTAGTAATCAATAATTTGTTTACTTCAAATGTTTTAACTGTTGTAATCATTTTCTATCTCTACAGAATACAGCGGTAATGGTATTTTTGTCACACGATGCTAAATACGTATGCTTATTATTTTTTGTCCGCGTTCCTCTGTGGCAGATTTAATTAATATCCGCTGATAGGTGCATATTTCTCAATATCACTTTAAATCTCTTATCTCCTCTACGCGGATACGCATAAAATTGGGTATTTCTTTCTTTTACTTATTGACATCAATAATCCCGAAAACGAAAACTGTTGCCGTCAACAACGAGCACAAGAAACACTTTTCCACTACAGGTGATTTTAAAGAGCCGAATTATTTAAAATAATTTAGACCAATTGTTTGAGTTTTTAAAAATTAAATATAATTTATTTATTTTTATTTATTTGAATTTAAACAGATTATTTAATTATTTTCGACTTCTATCGCTGCGCGATGCTTTGAGGTGCAAAAGTATTTGTATAAAGTATATGTATATTTTTGTCTCTTTTTTCTCTATCTATTCCGTGGTCGCTATCTTAAAGTGGGCCACGATTGTACGTCGTATCCACGTATGACGACAATGAAAAAAATGATTAGTGACGGTATTTTAAGCTATGATCGTCCGCAAAAATAGGAGACAAAAAAGAGAGCAGTGCACGGTAGATATGAAGAGAGCGTATCAACACATACATGCTGATCCACAGTGGATCTAACACCATACGGCCTGACTGATGATATATGTACATGAGACATATATAATACTCCGGTGAGTATTCTTTCTTTATTTTAAAGTATATTTGTAATAGATAGATTAGAATTTGTTTAAAAAATTTTTGAGTATATTTAAATAATTTTCATAAATTTTATTACATGCATTCATTAGATTATATTTCTTAAGTCCGATATTGGTGATAAGTATCTTGAGAAGTTTACTGATAAGTTTATTTGGGTGATTTTGAAGTCTGGTATTATATTTTATGTAAAACTGTTGAATTTCCTCAGTTACTGTTGGAACATATAGATAATATCAGATAATGTCGTTAAAATAAAAACCATGAAACCCATAAAATATT